GGCCAACGACATTATGAAAATATCAGAAGGTTGGCAAAGGTAAATCAAATGACGCCAAGCCTTGCATTGAGACCTACTCAAGCCATTGCCTTACTATAACAGGTTCCAGTGATCCACTCATTATGTACTTCGCATGAGATGAGATTGACACCTTAACAGCGAAGGAACAATAGAAGATTATAAAATCCATGAAATGTAAATGGAAGGTAGAATGCAATTTTCGTTCAAATTTATCCAGGAACAGCTAGCTATTGTTAGATAATGGCATCATAAACTAAGTAGTAAAAAGAACTTCCTTGTTTGGCATTTCTATGCTGATCCTTCACACATAGAAGGGGGATATCTAGGAAACATGTTTTGGCAGAAAAGTAAGGGAGCTCCTAGCGTAACCTAGAGAAATCCTGAGAAATCCAGAAAAATCGGTGGCTATCGTTCCAATTGCCAGAAAACGCTCCACGACGCCAATTAGTGAGTTATTGTGCGGGATACAACGGAGCACCTACTATTCAGACCTTGTTGCTATATCGATCCGGGGAAAGAGGTTTCTCGAAGACCGGAAATGATAGGTGTAGATCATGTCAATTTTGCTTTTGGCAAACAAACTAGAAGTGTGCCAATTCTAGTTTTCGCAAAAACCTAAACTCGCATGCTTAATGTAGTCAGTCGATTTTTTATCCCATATGGCATATTTTATGCGAAATCGTCCAGGAACAGAGTGTCGGGTTCCTCTGCCTACAGACAGCAGAAGTTGTTCATCACATTACCGCACATTGAAAAACATGAAGTGTTCTTTGGAATGATGAAAAGATTTACATTCGCAACACAATTTCATTTGATTTCCAGAATGGTGTTGCAAATTATTGCCGATAAATTTAATTTAGGTTAACCGTGTTAGGAGGCATGACTCTCCCTAACGATGCACACTCGTTATTAGAATTGGGACCGAGTTTCTCACGATCTGAATCCATTTCTAAGATAACCTTGCGTAGGGTCGCATGTGGTTTACATGAACTTCAAGATAGACTCCGCAAAAAAGCTGGAGATCAAGCGCTAAATAGGTGCGAACAACACTAAGTGGGAGTCCTACCAATAGCACCATTTCCTCAGCCGTTCTTTAGACAACAAGAACCCAATAGTTGACATTAAATTTCGGACGTTTACGAATGAAACTTTTAAAGTCCTTAATCACTATCGCGCCAAGAGATACTGCTCCAACCTCACTGAAATACAAAAAAGTGGTATACGAGAGGTACGAGAGCTGATAAAGTTAAAAAACACAAGACTATCCATTATTGATAAAAGTGGAGAGTTTGTCGTAATTCTCCATCAGTTAGATGTTGAGATAACGAAGAAACATCTTGAAGATCCTTCACTCTATCACCCATCATCTGAGGAGTTTAAAAGTAAATACCGAAAATTGAACCACGAATGGGTCAAAATACCAAAGGCTGTTGGTTTAAAACCATAAGTTATCTCTCAACTAAAAGTTTACTTACCAATATGTCCCGTCTTGTACTTGCTTATAAAACCTCATAAGTTAGTATCCAGCGATGATCTTGCGTCTACCGATCCATCATTGTTTAAGGTTAGACCTATCATTAGCTATAGGCGGGCCAACGAATAGGATAATGTGGTTTTTTAACCCTAATGTTTACCCAGTTGTTGAAACACATTCCAGCCCATCTTGCCAATACCCAGATGTTTATGGATCGTCTGCATACTGTCCGTTCCAACAACGCGTACGTGATGGAGTCTTTCGTCGTTACTGCACTTTATACCAACGCGTCGAATGACTTCACAATGCAAGCCATATTCGAACCCCTTATACAACACAAAAGAGAAATAAACATGTATGGGTTCAAGATAGAGCAGCTGATGGCACTCTTAAAAGAATGCTTGAACTGCTCAATCTTCCGATGGTCCGGAAAGTACTACGCTCAAATAAGAGGGTTGGCAATGGGACAACGACTGGCGCCAAGTCTTCACATTGCATTTATGTCTAAGGTGGAAGCACCAGTAATCGATTTCCGGTCATTACTCTACTGTTGATATATAGATGACTGTTTTATCCTTTGCTCAACACAAGAGGAAATGGACAAATGTTTCAAGTTGTTAAATGCACAGTCAGAGAATATCAATCACCTGAGAAAAGCCGAGAGAAAACTGGCTTCCATTCCTGAACGTCTAAATTGACCTGTCAGAAAATGGTGACATTACGAAGTACCAAGTAGTAAAAAATAAACCAAAAGCTAAGTAGTAAACACATCTTGGTTCATTACCTCTCCTCTCAGCCCTCTCACACGAAAAAGGCGCTTATAAGAAACATATTTTGAACAGCAACCAACGTTTGCACGGGAAGAGAGCAGAGAAAGGAATCCTGGAACCTGGCAGGGCAAATAGCCATTTCTAATGGCTACGAAACTGTAGCTCAGGATAGGTGTACGTGGAATCCTAGGCCTCAAAACAAAAACTCCAGCGATAGAAGGGTCCCGTTTATCCTACCCTTCGTCTCAAATGATATAAGTAGAGTTATAAAACGCTGCTTAAGAAGGGCGGGTTTAGAGAATTCGGTAAGCGTAGTTGAAATACCACCGAGTAATCTTAGGCGCCAGCTAGTTCGTAACCGCCTATATGACCGTCTATGTGCAACGCAAAATTGCATAATTAGCCCTAGTGGTAGATACGGTGATTGCACGAGCTCCGGTAAGTTTATCGGATCTGAAATTTTGGTTCAGCATTTTCTCTGTTTGTTTACGGAGGTGTTTGGCCTTGTAGATTGTAATCAACTTGACCTTTCCAGGCTCTGAGGAAGGCGAAATCCGCCGAAACGTCAGCTTGTACGGAAATAAAGAAATAACACCTCGTGTTTTCTGAACAGAAGTAGAAAGAATTATACAACTGCACAGAGTTCATATGGAATCGTATTGTGCCCATCTCATCAAAATAACAGGATTATATACTGCCCAATATCACGCATAATAATGAGGCATTCCTCCTTGCGGATTCTTGGAATTAATCCAAAATGCCTCTAGAGTTCTGTTCTCGATTCTTGCGCGAGGATCGAAACCCCTACTTCAAAATCTTCTCTGTTATGTCTCTGCGTTCTATGTGTGCCTAGTGGGGTATTTGGTCTACGTTTGCCGACTAGGTGTTTTTTATACGTACGCAGAGTGGTCTACCCGTTTCGCCAACGTATTCGTCCCCGCACGCTTTACAAGAGATCAGATAGACTGTGCCCGAACTCATGCAGTCACCGTCTCTACCATTGGGACAAATTATGCAATTTTGCATTGCACATGGTCGGTCGTATAGGCGGTTACGAACTAGCTGGCGTCTTAGATTACTCGGTGGTATTTCGATTGTCGTTACCAAATTCTCTAGACTGGCCCTTCTTAAACAGAGTTTTATAGCTGCACTTACTTCATTTGAAATTAAGGGTAGTATAAACGGGACCTTATTGTCGCTATAGTTATCGTTGGGTACCTGTGGTTTCCTCTACACCTATCTCGAGCTACGGTTTCGTAGCCATTAAAAATGGCTATTTGCCGCTCCAAGTTCCGGGACTCCTCTCTCTGCTGTCTTCTTGTGCACACGCTGCTAGCTGCTCGAAACATATTTCTCACAAGCGCCCCTTTCGTGTGAGAGGTGTGAGAGTAGAGGTAATAACCCAAGATGCTTTTAGTACTTGGCTTTCGATACCATTTTGTAATGTAGTCGTTTTGTTTTACGATTGTCTAGCCTACATGAAGTTATTGTGAAAATTCTATTCGACTAACGTCCCAACGTATTCGTCTTCTTCAGAGGTGACTGCCCATATCCGGTGTTTCTGATGACGTGGTTCACACAATCAACGACACTGGAGTTTCAGCAGAAACCGTCCTGCATAAAAAGGGTCACTGTCGAGTGAGAATCTCATTCTGGTGTTGCTCAACACCAAAATAATCGACTCGACGATGACCATTTACTGGCGTTAATTGAAGCAGATACAAGCACAGATGTTCGATTATTATGCATCGGTTTTAGTTTCTACATCGAAGTGGGACCAAGGGCGGTTACTGTGTCTTTGCAGGAATTCTTCCACGAAATCGTGAAAAGGCGAATTGTGGGCAAAATTTGGCTCTCCGAAGTATTGTTGAGCAATGTCGGTAAAGAAGTAACATAATTTCAACTGAGAAATCGAACAGTCAGTCCATTATGGGTCGATGTATATTACTTCTCACCAATGTCAGCTGTAAACAGGTCAATTGATTGAGCAATTTGGTTGATCGAAACTAAAGTCTTGTGTCTCTTCAGAACTACCACATGGTCTCCGTTAGTTGGTGTATACGAAGTGAACCACACCATTCAGATGAGAGAGTTTTGTGGAGTTCCTATTGTGAATTTATAACTCGAGTGTATAAATAAAGGTACATTTACATAGGCGAAAATATCACGTCGAAATTTTCCGAAGTCCCAACTCGAATTTTCCTCAATTCATGCAGTGTTGAGTCATGACCGTCACGCTGTTGCGTGTCGTTACAACTAGACGTGATTAGCCGTTGTGCCTCTACGTCGTTAATGCTGTGTCAGGCATCTCCTCTGCAGAATTTGTGGGCCTTTGCCACAGGGAAACGTCGGCTTTGTGGTCTCGGGGTTTTTATCACTTTGCGATGTAAATCCGCTGGTTATTACAGATGGAAAACATTAGAACGTGTTGTTTATCATCGTTTTGAAGGTCGCCCCTCCCATAGAAATAGTACAAATGACCCCGCGTCGGACCGCAAGCAATCTTACATACTTCGACAACCAGAAATGCTTGCCAACGTGAGGTTGTGCGCTTCGAATTTCCCGTCTCATAACCTAGTATTTTTTTAAGTTTCATACAGTTGGAAAATTTTTTGACCTTCTTATTTGAGAGTTGTTTGTTCTTGTGGTTTGTGCTTTGTGCACGTATGCATTGATAAGGGTTTCTCGGTCAAGGCTACCTGTTGGTCGATTTATCGTCTATTGCTTGCCCATAAATGACCACATCGCTCGATTTCACCGGCAAAAAAGCATTGGTCACTGGAGCGAGTCAAGGTGTGTCCGTAATTTTCAGTACTAGACTCGTTATGTGAAGCTGGTTTCCAACTAAATTTCATGTACATTAATTTCGACTGTTCAACTTTTCCTGCTTAATGGACCCTACATAGTTAAAAAGAAAATGACACTGGGATCGCAGGTGATGCTAGTCGAAGATGCTTAGGAACACTGAACAGAGACTTTAACGTTGGATTTAATCAGTAGCTTTCTACGTTCAAAAGCAAAATGACTAAACAAAGCACTATTTTAACAGTGTCGTGTTACTTCACGAAGAATACAATAACCTATAAAATATGGATAACACGTTGACTTGCAAATGGGTTCATGTGCACTTCCAGTGTAGAAATCATGCAAAATGAAGCTGGAGAAAACAATTTTTCTCGCAGAAGCTCCCATACTTGGGAAAACAATACTTGATTCATAATACTCGAACGGTCTGCCCTCATTGGTTGTGCAAGCCTCAGCGTAATCTCCATTTTTTGGAGATATACCGGCTAAGCCGTTGTGGTTCACTGGAAACGCGGGGTCAGCCTGGCCAAAGTCTGTCTCAGGCCTTCACTACTGCAGGCAGTGACTGCTTTTGTGGTTTAGAAAAAGATTTGTCACTATTTGACTTTGATACAAGGACGGTGGTGGATCGTGGTATTGGTTTACTCTTAGCCAGGCTTCCTTATGGAAGCGCCGGACTCCTTCTGAGGTTGGGAGACCCTGCCAGGGTGATGAATCCTCTGCTGTACATCGCAGTCCGCCCCGGGCAACACCACCCTGCCACGATGAGGCAGTAAACCGTTGGGGAGGGGAGAAATAGTGAATATAATATTTAGGACTTAACGTTTTTCGTCGTTTATTTATATGTTCTTATAAACTGATCTTGTTGCGCTGATGCGAGTTCCACTCGTAACAGCAGTGCTCTGAGTAGGGCGATATCGCTGAAACGTCAACCATCGACCAGCAACACCAACAACAATCACAACAGCAGCGTCAACTTATACCAAACTCGTATTAGCTCAACAAGATCAACTCATTAGACCGTATAAATAAAAATGTCGATTATTTATGTCGAGGTTTATAGAAAGTCGGTCTTTTGAGTTACTTTTCGTTGTGTTTCTATCTAGGTGTTCTCAAAAACCATGTGAGAGGAAACAAGAGATTAGGAAAAATTTTGCTGAATTATAGTAAATTATATTGTTTATAGAAAAATGTTTTCTGCTAAGAAGGCTTACCTGCTAAGTTCTCAACAGAGGGTAATTTTAAGGTATCGGTTATGGCATTGCAATGGCTCTCGCTGAGACTGGTGCGAAAGTGGTAGCCCTTGCTAGAGACAGAACAAAACTGGAAGATCTTAGTAAAAAGGTTATCACATTTCGCAAACTAAGAACTATTGATATTTTTCACGATATCCTATTGTTTGCCTATTTTTGCTACATTCATATATTTTGAATTTATCTCTGGCGCTGCTACTCGTCGGACAGTTCTCGTTGGCAACACAGTCTGTTCCAAAAACAAGGATCAACTGCTTGTTATGTGCCTTTTCCGTCCCGACGAATTGCCTGTTTATTTCAGCACAGCAGTATTTCCGTCGTCAATTGTGATGTCACATCGTGCGAAGCTTCAATAGCAGCTCACATTGCTCCACACCAACCGTTTGACTTCCTCATTAACAATGCCGGGGTCGCAACGCTTGAACCATTTCTAAGCATCACTGAAGAAGCAATGACGAGGTGAGTCACTTTTAAAAGCGTTATGCTTGCTTGCAAAAGGTTATCATTCTATGAAGGACCGCGAAAGGATCTCATTAGTTGCGCCGTTAAAATTTCTCACTTGATATTTGAATACTTTCTTTGACACGTAACGAACCGTGTGTAGCAAAATGGTTACACGCACGTTCACTAATTTACGAATGTTTTTATGCAGTATTTTTTGTATTCTTTCGATATTTTGTCGACATGGATGTCACGTGAGGCATGGTTCGTGAAAAGCTATTCTCTGCACTTAACAACTAATAAAAGACCTCTTTCGGTTATGTATGACTGCTTATGCACAACGCGAAATCGCATAACATGTCCTAACGGTAGAGATGGTGTTTACATGAGTTCGGGTACGTTTTGCCTGATCTTTTTGTAAAGAGTACTAAGTCGAATATATTGGCGAAACGGGTAGAACGCTGTGCGACCATATAAAAGAACAACTTGTCCGAAAACTTAAAGTCAAGCAGAACATTCCGCTGAGCACGCATAGTACACGAATTTAAATTGGAAAGCATTTTGAAGTAGACGTCACCATCCTTACACAGGAACCTAAAACATCAGCGCGTAAAACCCTCAAACCATCTGGATAAATCCCAAAGATCCAAAAAAGAACCGCAAAGAAGAATGCCTCATTACCGCGCGTGATCTCACGCAATATCTCAGATTGATATTTATTTTAAAGTGAGAGAGGCGCATCCGTGTTAATGGTTGGTCTCAACGTGAAATATCCAGTGGAAGACTCTTGGAGAATGGTGTGTGAAGGAGTTGTTTTCTATCTAATGCGATTGAACATCAGGTTTAATGGTTTTCCTGTTGAGATTATGATGGTATTTCACTGACTAAGTTGTAGTTGATTTGATCCTTCGGGCCCGACAAAGGCGAAATACCTTGCTAAACGCTAAACGCTTGCTGCTTACTTCCTAAAGCACGTTGAAAGTTGCTCCTAGGAAGAAACCTTTAACAGCATACATTTACTTCCATAAAAACACAATACAATACAACGCTAGCTGACGTTTCGGCAGTATCGCCTTCTTCAGAGCCGCTTTTTTGTGACTTCCAATGAGGAAGTTTAAAACAGCTGATTATAGTCGCAGATGCGACTGTGAGGAGCCAGTGAGGAGGGGCCGTCCATGTAATTCAAGTAAGCTTGCACGTTAGTTGCCCCCTGCATGTAGTCGTTGACAAACACGTGTATCCATAGGACTGGACAGTATACAGGTGGTGTTTCCTGATTTGTTCCGGACAATAAGCAATACTCGCACTCTTCGAGATCGTGATAAGCTGCGAGTGAATGTCTATTGGACGACCACTGTTTTGTGAATTTCTACGTCTTTGAAAAACGAGGTTACTTACAAAATACATCGAAAATATGGATAACTTTGGCAAATCACTTGAAGGTTTTTCGATGAGGCTTGTGATATTTCTGATCAGCACACTTTTGCTTCGTTTATTTTACTCTGCCACCTGTCTTGTGTAAATAAACAGTTTTTTTTCAGAACATTTTATTATTTCGTTCATTTCACTCAATATAAATAATTCATCTTCTCACAGACGTCTGCTATTTCGTGCATTGCAGGCAGTTCGAAGTAAATTTGAAGGCGCCCGTTGTTCTCGCCAAAATCGTCGCCGACCAGATGATTCGACATTCAATCCGCGGTGTAATCGTTAATATTTCGTCGCAAGCGTCCATCAAACCACTTACGAATCACACTGTCTACTGTGGGTTGTGCGAACAGTTCTTGTTAGCGTCTAGACCTGTAACACATGCGCTACTTTTTCGTCGTGTATATATATACATGTATATTATATATATATATACATATATATGTATATATATATATATATATATACTTACTTACTTGATACTTGAACGGCCCATCATCACTAGTTGTGCGGGCCCCGGCATAATCGTCATTTTTCGGAGATTTGCTTGTTAAGCCATTTCGGTTCCCTGGAATCCCGAAGACAGCCTGGCCAAAGTCTGCCCATTATATATATATACAACGATGCTGCGACACGTTCAAACCTCGGAATCTCAGTTAAGCTTCGAACCGGTGATTACCCCTACCGAGGCTCAAGTGCTTTCCCACACACCAATCGAGACTCTTGCTTTGGCTTTTTCTCAGTCATGTTCTAATTCTATCGGTGCTATCAGCAAACACTCGTCAACGAGATTGATGTGGGAAACACAAACCGGCATAGAACCAAGTTAAGCTGAAGTTTAAATCATAATGTCTTAACTTTTGTTCATTGTCTATTCTTTTCTGATGGAAACGTATCACATAAAATACAATTACAATTATGGTGAGATATGAGCAAAACTCAGAACCACAGTTTGGGTTCGAACTCAGGATTATCCTTTTCTGGGGCTAACGTATACATCTGTATATATATTCATAAATATGTTCGTAGTGTGAATATATATATATATATATGTGCAAAAACCTCCCAACGGTTGGATTCGTCCTCCCGGCAGGGTCTCCCAAGCTGAGAAGGAGTCCGGCATTTCCATCAGGAAGCCTAGCTAAGAGTAAACCAACACTCACTACCACTGTGTTATCCGCCCCATATGTGTATGTATAATTGCATTTGTGTATTTACGTATATAGATGTGCATATATATATATATATTTTGGAAAGACAGCGAAGGCTAGTGTTCATAATTTTCTCGAGATTCTTTTAAACGTCTATTTCCTCGACTCTAAATTTTACTCATAGCATCTGTAATGCTGCTAATCACTTAATGTACACCAGCGACATTTCCATACGTTCGTTTCGCTCGCCAGATTTGCTCAGCGGAAGCCGCACTTGCGTGTAGGCCACAGAAAACATTTAGCTGTATTTGGCGAGAGAAATTGGAGGTCGGAAAGTATTGGACGACAGTCATTAGCCGCTTGATTTTTTGTGATGTCAGGTACTCCGCTGAAGGACCATTGACTAGATGGTCAAGGAATGTTTTCGTGAAGAATCTGGTAGGAAGGTATGATGCTCGCCAAGTTTGCAGAGCAAAGAGGTCCTCTTGCGATACACTTGTTGCCAAGTGAAGACTTTAGTGGTGTTCTCTCAAATCACTCGATAATCTACAGAAAGGCAGGGGTTTTAGCGAGAGAATGGCCAAAGGCATTTTTCAAGACTCCAACACAGAGCTGGACATGTTTTACCAAACAACTTCCTCATTCACTTTCGTGGTAAACAGAGGATTATTTGATGGACGTGACCATGAACTGTTTTGTATAGAGTTCTTTTTTTGATCATTTGATTACGGGTTGTCCAGGATACAATCGACGCATATATCGCTGCACGTTTGTATGCAGGAATATTTCTACACGCACGCGGAACGTCTACGTTAACTTATCACAGCAGAGAACGTTTATCTTCTGAACAAATTTATATCTCCGGGCAAGTACATGGCCGCTTTTGCTACTCATATGGCCCTCCTATCTGCCACGTGCTGATTGCCATTCTGTTCTCATGTCTGATCGACTCACACATGCAACATCCATTCCAAATGCTTTTAATATTGAAAGCTAAAGCGTCTAATGTCTTTTTCCGTATTGTTTGGAAGAATTAGGTTGCTTTTTTATGTGCCTCTATATTGAGGTGCCAGTAAAGCGGGACTTGACATGGTCACTCGATGTATGGCTAAGGAACTCGGACAGTACGGCATTCGGGTAAACTCTGTGAATCCAACTGTGGTAATGACGGAAATGGGAAGAAAGGTTATTTTCTTATTGAAATAATTTTCTTTAACAAATCGCAAGGATAAGGATCAGTTAATTTTAGAACTGGTCTGATCCAAATAAATCGTCGGCTCTGCTTAGCCAAATGCCAATGGGTAGATTTGCAGGTAATTATTATATTTTGTCTTTTACCGTCCACGATGCTTTAAAAATTTATCACCCATTTCGCGTTTGAGTAATAGCAGGATCATATCATCATCATATCAGTCTTTGTAGGAAAACTGGAGTGAGGAAGATAAAGAGAAAATACTAATATGAATGTGTCGTTCAGCGTTCTTGTTCAGCAATCGCCAGGTTTTTAAACAGCATACATTTACTTCCATAGAAAACGCAATACAATACAACGCTAGCTGACGTTTCGGCAGTATCGCCTTCTTCAGAGCCTTCAGAGCCGGTATACCCTTCCAGGCTCTGAAGAAGGCGATACTGCCGAAACGTCAGCTAGCGTTGTATTGTATTGTGTTTTTCTATGGAAGTAAATGTATGCTGAGATATTTGCAAAACTCTGGACCGCAGGTGTCAATGGTGGGGAACGAACGCGCTATTATCCTTTCCTGGGAGTAACGCGTTCACCACCACACCATGCGGGTCCTTTGTTTCGCACGTCTCTCAGCTATTTCTATCGATCTTTTTTTTTTTTGCAGAGTTTTGCAAATATCTCAGCAACGTTGTGGTTGTATTTCGCTTAGTAACCTGCCATGAAAATTATAGAAGGCAGAAAACAAAACGTTAAACATTGTAAATGTATGCTGTTTAAAAACCTCGCGATTGCTGAACAAGAAAACGACACATTCATATTCCAATGCTGAGGTTAATAGAAAGTCGATCCTGGGAACTACTACAAGAAAATACTAAGTTTGTTTCTCACATAGGAACATGATCAGATTTAAAATGATTTTGTTACACAGTTCCTTTACACGAGTGGAGGTATAGCACGCTGGTTAGTGATGTTGTCGATCAAGAAGCAAAATTTCGATCCCTCCCCAACGACTTCCTCCAATCCACGCGGGAACGCCTTGAGCCGACTATATCCAAGATTACGAGGAGAATAGACTCGACCAGCATTATGAAGTATTCATAAAGAAGACGAGATCTTCAAACAGCAAGTGAAATAATGTGCGAATGTTCGATGACCAGTGTGAACGATGAATGCGAGGGAAGCGAATCGAATGCAAGAAGTACTGGGATAGATGGATGGATGCGACGTACAGTAGATGTGATGACGGATCTTGTAAGAAAAGGGGAAAAAGTAAATTGTTTTCTAGAGGCAATGACAATTGCATAGGTTTTTCTTAAGTACCGTAAAAATTGCGCTATGAGGTATTTTATTTCTATTATATTTAGAAGAATAGATGCTGAGGGACAAATTACCAAGTTTCGCGATGATATAGGTTTATTTTTGTCATGTTTCTCGAATGAAATACCGAGCACCTTCGAAGTCTAGGAGATCGCGCCTGGAAATAAATCTCGTAACTGTAGATCCCACTTCGAACCCCTGGAACGTTTCCCAACCAAAATGACATGAAAACCATTCGGACATAAAAACACTTCATTAAGCAACGATAGAGGTGAGTGAATGCATATCTGGCCTTCACAATGACTCAGGGTGTTCTACCGATGTATCTGCTGATCGAGCCAGTGCTGCTATCTTCCCAAACAGGTCTGCTACCAATTTGCCAAGCCCGGAGTGATAGATGGCTAGGTGGGCCATGGACACGAGGATCGATTCCACGTGTGTATTGCAGGTCACCTCCGTCCACTGCGCCACACTCGATCTTAGGTGGACATTTGATTTCAAAGAAAAGTAACTTTTCTCCTCGGAAAAACGAAGAATTTCGACAGCATTTTTCCTTTTCTTCTCTATACTCAAAAGCTAGGTCTGTAAGGTAGATCTAGCGAGTTCTTAACTATTTTAACACGTAGCTCCCAACATGAATTGATTTAAACACATTTGGTGCGAAAATTATGTTCTCTTCCAAGTTGGAACCACTTTATCTTACCTCAAACCTCTAGTTTATTCATTGAAATTAAATCCATTCAAATTCTCAGATCTTCTTCTGCAGGACACAAACATTTCATAAAATGAAGTTCTGTTCTCCACTTGCTTTTTTGCGTCAAGACTCATGTTTTTAAAACGAAGACAGTTCAACAAAAGCGAAATTCGTCCCGCAGGACATGTTGGTGTTTCCCACGGCATCGCCTTTGTGGTGCACCTTGGCTGTCGTACTTGCACTGGAACTTTCAAAATTTTCAATTCAGTTTTAAATTCTTAAGTATATTAATTGTTAAGGGCTTCTAAACTAAGAGAACAGGATTTACAGTGGAGAATTATAAAGGTTATAGATAAGGTTAAGGAAATAGAGCAAGATCAATTCTATGAACTTGTCAACTTTTCAACTTCTGAACTACCGTAGTAACTGAAAAATTGCTGTCAACTCTTGAAAAACAAGCATCAGATGCTTAGGAACAGCTTCGTTTCCCTGATAGATTGATGTGTTCAGAAGTCGAAGATGTAGTCAAGGGCGTGCTGTTTTTATTAAGCGATGCATCAGCCATGACTACCGGAGAAGCGCTCCCTATTGATGGAGGATTCACGAGAATGTGAACTTAATGGAGGAATATAAAGGCAGGATTGTGGGTTTCTCTTTTCAATCCCGAAAATTGCCATCAATTTTTTTGTTTCTATTATCAAAAAGTGTGTTGAATTTCAACTACAGCGATGCTGAGGTAATCGCAAAACTTGGACACCCGGCCAGAACGAACCTCGATTACCTTTTCGGGAGCTCGCGTATTAAACACTGCACCACGGAAGCCCTTGCTTCGTGTTTCTCTCAGCTGGTTCTCTACCTGGCGCTGCCATCAGGAATCACCCACCATGTTTTTTGAATATCCAAGCACCGTTGTAGTTGCATCTCAAGTCATAGCCTGCCGTGAAAAATTATAGTAGGCAGCAAATAAAAGATTAGCATTGTATTTAGTTTCTTTGTACCATTATAGACTGTAGAAGTCAATCATTTTGAGCTCTCACTTAAAAGCTATTGGTGATTTTGTTCAGGACGCCATTCTTACAACGCTGGTTTTCATGGTTTTCTATGCCGCAAAAGTCACAGGACGGGATTTTTTTGACTGACATCTATCACTGTAAACAGGCTGTCTAAATAAGATATTCTACTGACATCGAGACTTCGACTGTTTCCCATTAAGAAGTCTGCAAATTGTAGATGCAGAATCTGTTGGTTACAGCCGCCAAGTGGTTAAAATTTTGTGCACTGAGTGAGGAATTCAAATAGTGAAGCATATTGGAAGAACTACTCTAAAGACAGTGGAAGCATATATGTTCTATGAAGAAATGATATGAAGACACCACCGTTCCATGCATTGTTGCGTCACTGATTGAACAGCATTGCATTTTTTTTCGAAATCATTAAGAAAATCTCACTCATCGTCGATCTCCATAATATGTCAAGGTGAAACCCAATGGCTCTCTGTGGGAGATGATTCTTGAAAATTGATTAGCCAATGGAGGTGATAATACACCTTGGCGACTCACAAACACCACATTTGAGAAGCATAGATGGAACAAAGGCTATGGCTCTAACAAAAAATGGAACAATGAGAAATTGAGATGTAGTATAGTTTTGCCTAATATTTCGCACACAGAGGTCGATTGTATCAAGTTTAGAGTCGAAGGAGTAAAAATACGACACACAGTTTCCTTATGTTGTTCACATCGTGGATGCAAGCAGTCTGACCCAGCTCTATAACAATTAAACCTAAGTAGGAAAAATTCCCACATAACTAAGCATTCACTTCTCAGAGCTCCAAGGGTTGCGGCAAAGGCAACGATGCTCTGAATGTGCATGACACACGGAAGCCGTTCAGCGAAGTGTGACAGTATTATGAGACCAACTTTGTTTTGACCTCGTCACTGTTAATTAATAATCAGTATCTATTCGGTTCGTTGACTTTAGACGGATTCGTTTGATTCCCAAAACCGAGTTTTTATTGAACTCGGCATTCATTGATAACATATTGTTTCCTTGACCAATGGGCAGGAAGTTGTTACCGCACTGTTTACTCATTCACAAAAGCTGCCATTCATATTCCAATGCCGAGGTTAATAGAAAGTCGATCCTGGGAACTGTTACAAGATGTACCAGCAAAATACCTTCGACTTGTGAAGGAAGCATTGCCACTAAGACAAAGATTGTCTTAGCTAGACAGCAAATCAACTTTTTCCGCCGCTGTTTTCAACATCGAGTTGTGCCGAAGTTTATAAAACGAAGACGACTTCACGAGATATGCGGTCAACCACAGGACAGCCATCAAGTACGAAGCATCGAAATGGAACTACTACGCGCCTCACTACGGAGCAAGCGGAACGATATATTCGCAGGAGGGATGAAATGTGTGGCGAAGGAACATTTTTGTGCTTTGTATTTGAAAGATCGCCTTTGGAAGAGAATAGTTTGTGGGTCAATATTGATATGCGATTTTATTAGACCTAATGCCAAAATAACCTTACAACGAAAATTCGAAAATCTTCTGCGTAATTCACATGTTTTAGCTTCAAGAAACAACCGCAAACGAATTCCTAACGCTTCTGATATTAGTCAAAATTGGGGTGATAATGCACCAAGAAAATCTAGGGTCACCGTGATTGGGGCAATAACAATGCCTGAGACTGCGCGTTCGCTATTAAAAATGGGCCCAAGTTTTGCACCATCACAGCCCATTTCTGAAACGACTCTGCGTAGGATAGCATGCAGCCTTTGTGAGCTTCAAGATCGACTCCGCTACCAAGCCGAGCAAGAAACATCAAATAGAGATAAAAATCAAGAGGTAGCGGCACTACCACCATCTCCTTTCCCTAAAACGTTTTTTAGACAGCAGGACCCTAACGATGGAGTAGACATAAAATTCCGCATGTTTTCGGACGGCGTTCTCAAGACCCTTGATCACTACCGCGATAGAAAGTTTATCTCTCACCTTACAGCCGC